AGAACAACAGTGCCTGCCGACACCGACTGCACCACCGCGTCGGTTCTCGCTCCTGTATCCTTTATGAACGATTGGTAGTTTCTCATGCCATCCATATCTGCCATGACCTTCCAATTTCTGCCGTTATCAAAAATACTTCTTCCGTTGCATACTTCATTTCTCGTGGTTTGATCCAATTTACCCCCTCTTAGGAAATGGATTTTTCATTGTTTACCCGGTGGCCTTGAATTTACCTTGTCACAAATATTGGAAACGAGTTTCACTGGTGCTTTCAATGCTGTGTTGTGCCTCCACGTATAACGTATGTATGTATGTGTGTATGTTTGTATGTATGTATGTATGTATGTATGTATGTATGTATGTATGTATGTATGTATGTATGTATGTATGTATGTGTGTGTGTGTGTATGTGTGTATGTATGTATGTATGTATGTATGTATGTATGTATGTATGTTTGTATGTATGTATGTATGTATGTGTGAACCCGTTTTGATGAACAAGCCATAGTTAAGCATGCAATCGTTACAGAGTTTAACTTTTATCTATATCCCTGTTCCCGCACAGTCAGGTATCTAGCAGCTCCATCCAGAATGCAAAAGGAATTAAATTTTTGTAATAAAAGTGAAAGTGTTTGTTTTAAATAATTACCTTCATTAGGGTCACCCGTTATATTAACTATTTTTCTTATTAATTTTTTAATAAATAATGATGTGTGCTTATTTGTTGGTCCGAACGTTTCGATGCAAATAGGTTGAAATTTTTTGCTTAAATTTTTTGATGAAACGTATTTTTCATTTAGTATTCATTTCATTCATGTATGTATGTATACATTTATTTATTTACATTTTGTGTTACGCTATTACAAACTTAATACCATATCATTACAGTATTTATGATGATAATAATAATAATAATAATAATAATAATAATGAATATTTATTAAAGATAAAAATACCGCTTTCCTTGGTACTCGATGTATCAAAGAAGAAGACCGCAAAGTTCATCCCAAATGCCGTTGGTGTGACGACACTCAACAAAGAAGTACGACCTGTTTCTTCTTCACACATTCATCGTTTAATCACTCTAATCATAATAATTAATTATGTTTCTGTTCATGTTTCTAATATATTGTGAGACTCATCTAATTAAACTTTGTTTATTTTATCGATTTTAAAGCTCTTGTTAAATTTGTTAATGTTGATAAAATCTGTTTAAACATTTTTGACAAATGTTTGATAATATTGATCGGATTTCAATCATCTACGAATAAATGTTTTTTGTATACATATTATAGAGCTGATTGAGGTTCTCTTGGACTGTAGTGCTAGATGAGTATAAGTCATATGTTAATTCCTTGCAATCACTCCACTTCATTTTCTGTATTTCTGTATTTTTTATGGTTGAATAAAATGTGCTTATTTTATTGAAACCAACTTTTTTTAATATGGAAATGTTTTTATCTAAAATATTTATAAGAATTTCTCCAATTCTTATGCTATGTTAAAACTTTGTCGTCCTCGAACTTTTCCTTCTGCCAACCTGCTTGCTCATTGTTACTCACTTTTAGACCGATAAGGTATGATATCTGATTGAATTATTAGGTGGTTTGTATGTTGACAATGAAAATTTTCTGCTTAACCTAGCAAACATTTGAAAATTTCGAATTTATCGTTATCATCCGAGTCATTATTTGATCGCATCATTCTTGCAGTATTTATTTGGATCGTTGCTGTCTCGTGACAACACTTTTCGAGTCATGGTGAACACTTGGCACAACTTTCAAAAGGTATCATTCCTTGAAATTCTTATTTATTTAAATCATGTTTTTATAACAAATAGGCAAAATTGGAAATTTTCAATATTAAATCTAAAAAGCGTTAAATCTACAAAGTATAGGTGTAAAAAACGGAGCAATTTGTTGCCAACATTTGCAATGTGGTATATCGCGAAACGCTGTGGTGATTAAATACATTGATGCGATAAATCATTCGTTACTGAATCATAAACTTCCAACATATTTGAAATAATTTGCTAGCGTAGTTTGTGACAAGTAGAGATAGGTCCTCTTTAGCATAGTTTGTATTTTAACTGCCTGCTCTAGCAAGTAGTTCTGTGCTGTACACGTGGTTACTGTGGCAGTCAACTGGTTTGAATGGCTCTAGGAAATTTCTTCCAGTTAAATCCATCTATGGTCTTCTTGTTAGTGAAAAATAAATACAAGAATGATACGCTCAAATAAAATTAGAAGAGAAGAAAATCAACCGCTGAATGAAAAACTTAGGCTTCAAAGAAAGATATAGAAACAGCAACTAAAAAATGAGAAACAAAGAGAGCACAGAGAACAACATGATCTTTTATGTGTAAGGGATTGTTGTTTAAAGAAGCTCAGATCATGCATAGATTGAAATTTCGGAAAACGGCAAACAAAGTTTGGCACTGTCGGATTCAGAAATCCGTTAAGGTTAATGGGAATTATCGAATGATTGATTGATGAGGGTTGGTTGGTCGGTTGGTTTTACGGTTGGTTATTGGTTAGTTGGTCGGTCAGTCGATCAATTGTTGATTTTTTTAGAGGTCTTTTACGCTAGCAAAATAGCTTTATTGATAAAAAAAATTAGCATATCATCTCATAATTTTTTGTATAAAAGTAAATTGTCATTCGTTTTTTATGTTGAAAAACTTATCATTTTTAAGTTTTTTATGTTGAAAAACTTATCATTTTTAAGTCTAAGGTTAATGGGAATTATCGAATGATTGATTGATGAGGGTTGGTTGGTCGGTTGGTTTTACGGTTGGTTATTGGTTAGTTGGTCGGTCAGTCGATCAATTGTTGATTTTTTTAGAGGTCTTTTACGCTAGCAAAATAGCTTTATTGATAAAAAAAATTAGCATATCATCTCATAATTTTTTGTATAAAAGTAAATTGTCATTCGTTTTTTATGTTGAAAAACTTATCATTTTTAAGTTTTTTATGTTGAAAAACTTATCATTTTTAAGTTTCTTGTTAATATATTTTAGTTGAAAAATCTGGATTCTGCTCCAAAAGAAATGGTTTATTCGGAAACAAACGACGAATTGGTGTCTCTGGATAGTAACAACAACAACAACAACAACACCGCCAACAACAGCAACAACCACCACCACTCTGATTCGACGAGCTACGAAGAATCCTTCTCTAATGCTGACGTCAACGCCGTCGAGGGAGAAGAAGAGGATATGGTCGACAATGTTGAAACTTGCAACATGTTGGTAAAGCGCAGCAACAGCAGACTTCACAGTAGCAGCAGCAACAGCATTGTCGGCAGCAAGTCGTACAACAACATTAAAAGTCAATCAGCCTATCTAAGAAGGAAGAGCAGGGATAGGAAGGGAGAACGATGTAAGGATTACTAGGATTAGTTTTGTATTATATTCCTCTTTTATGAGCATGATATCTTCATTTACTATATCTCTACTGTTTCTGTAATCAACAAACTTTTCACAATTTTAAAAATTAGCATAAAAATCGAATTGTCAAGTATTCATTTATTCAACATTTTTTGAATGACCATCTTGGTGACTGTGGCGTTAATGACGATGACAACAACAGTAGTGTAATGGTTGTTTATATTAAGTTTTAAAGCGATGTTTATGTTTGATTTTTAATATTTTCAGATAAACCAATCAACGAACAGCAGCATCCATTCAACATGTTTACGTTACTCTTGAAGCTTACCAGGTGGTGATGATGATGATGATGGTGGTGGTGGTGGTGATGATGGTGATGATAATGAAGTTCGTGTTGGTAATTATGATGTTGGAGATGATGATTATGATAATGATGGTGGTGAGGATGATTGTGATGGTAATGAGAGTGATAATGATGACGATGTTCATGTTGGTAATTATAATATTCTGATGGTGTTATTGTTGGTGACGAATTTGAAGATGACGACATACTCTTCAGAATCATGTACATTTCATAACATTATTCATATTTTAAATTTTTATTAATTTTATATGTTGTTGCTGATGACGTTTTAAATTAAAAACTTTTGATATATAACATATAACACACACACAAGCACATATATATATATATATATATATTAATAGTAGTACTGTACTTATTTAGGATATATGTACTACTAGTACATATGTTAACATATTAATAACATGGCGTATATTATATACATATATATAGAAATATATATTAATAACATTTTTATTTGTTGACATTAATTTTTCGTTCATTCCGCAGCCTACCACGAACCTGTCTTTTCCTCGTAATTGCCAGCATTTTGTGAGTTCATGTCTTTTATTATTTCATTATTCTATTTTATTAATTCATACACTTACGTGTTGTGTGTGTGAATTTCTTGTGTTTGTTTGTGTCTTGGTGGGTGTATCGGCTTGCATAGTTGTGTATGTATGTAGAGGCGTTTTTGAAATGTTGTGCGATGTTGTTAATTTTATAACTTGTGCATATTTTAAACTTCATCCTGTTGAAAAGATTTAAAATCTGTCCATGATTGGATTCATCTAATGAAGGGAAATGAAATGAATTTCCGGAAAAAAGTCTGGATTATCTCAACTAATTTAGGATAGATAATTTGACGTCACTAAGTTCGAATATGATGATAGTTTCTCTAGATTGGATCAATTTTTACATAAACTTGATTTCAAATAAAGACTGTTTGATTTTTGTAAAACCAACGCATTTTTGCAACGTTTATCTGCTGATTTTTCACAATAATTCCCATCAAAAAATATTTCTACGAAAATAAAATTATTTTGCAAAACGATATATTGACTACATGTAACAAATGTTGATTAATTTATATAGATATATAAAAATAGAACATAAGTTTTAAGGTTTCACATGTTCTTTTCATGGCGAAAACTTCCCAAAAACTCTAGTAGTATGTACATCAAGGACACCTCTCTCTAGAGTCCAACATTAATTTGCTATAATCACTGAATTCCATCTTGCCTGATACCTAAGATTTCAATTTCCGGCATGCCCTTCTGGAACCTCTCCCTGTTCGTTGGCTCATCGAGCCGAGGTTCTCCGGAAACCGATCCATATATAAGTGTAAGTACTGCCATTTTATACTCATGTTGCACTCCTGGTTTCTGGATGTTCGTCGCTTTATAGGGCACGAATTCCTCCCACACAGGCCAGTCATTCTTTATATAATGTTCTGCAGTGTCTTTACTATTCCACATGCATAAGAAACATGGGAATTTAGTGAACCCTGATTGCTGTCCTAATAAAAAGTTGACCTTTTTCAAATCAATACAAATCAAAATATGTTCATATAGCAACAGTTATGACAATATTTCATTATTGTAATAATACAAACATTATAATATTACCTATCAAATAATTGTAATTATACATATATAACAAAACCAAAGGCAGTAGTACGTGATCATGCCAAATTTCGCACAATACAGTAACAAATAAACATTTTTCCAACATTTTGTTATAAAAAATATGATTTTCGGAGTCAGCATTTGCGAATTGACTATAATTAGCTAAAAAACCTTAGATCTTTTTTCTCTTATGACCAGTGTAATGATGAAGACTTTCAACATAACATTGGTGGTGATTATGATGATGATGAAGTGGAAGATAGGGCAATGATAATGATGACGACTATAACGATGATTGTCAACAACTTCTCACAACAGAACCTTCGTCCTTTTGATATCAGCTTGCATGTTATCCAGTCAACTCTCAAACTTGGAGACCATGTTCCACAACATCGTTGACGAGAACAACCAACATCATCAGCTGCTCTACCAGCAACGTAGGAACTTCAACGGAGACGGTGGGGACGAAGGCGTGGAGGAGGGAGAGGCGGATGGCTTGGCCGTTGATGACAACTGTAAACAAAGAGAGTTAGTTTTTGGGGGGATTTTGGCGATTGTCTTGTCATCTGCATTGTGCATTTTAGAGTGTGCTTGCTTAATTTAGGTTTTGTATGAGTTCCATCCAATAATGGTGAGTGATAACAACGATGACGATGTATTTTCAATGTTTCTATTCTGTTGCAGAAGTAGCATGGCAGTCATCAGGGAGCTGTCGACGATGCACTACCACCTACTGACCCAGGTTGTTGTAACATTCAGTGCTCTGTTCATGTTTATCGTGCTCGTGCAACTTTTTATTTTCATCAGACGTTTCATCGAGATTCATTCAATTTCAGATCAACAAGATATTAAAAGTCCTGCAAATCACTACAACATCTAACAACGATTCAGAACAAATTCCAACTACCCTATAATAGCTGCAACGACAATAACGATGATATCCTCTGTAACAATTGTAATATCCTCCACAAAAATTTGATATTTTCAGAAGCAATTTTGATATGTTCCGCAAGAAAACTGATACCTCGAAGAAGACGTCGAAATTAATTGCGTTAGCAGCACTCAACTTGCAATCATTGTTTTTATAATTAAGTAGGTTATATTGCCTTCTTTCTCACAAGCGGCAATGGGTAATAAAATAAAAAATACCAATATAATAGGGATAACGAAACTCTATACAGACATCTTGAACCATTCACTGCATTGTTTGTTTATTACTTTTCATATATTCCATTTATAAGGAAACATTATTGTTACTTACACACAAGTACACACATTAACGTACACACACGCACGCGCACTCGCGTTATACCTAGTGTTGCATGTGATGTTATACGTGTAGCGAGTTGCAGCGAACACTTATGCGCAGTGTGGCTTGCTTCATTAGGTCGATTGTTTATATATTTTATTTATTTTTTGTTGTTGTTTATTTATTTATTCATTTATTTTTGTTAATTCTTTCATTCATTTTTATTAATTTGATTTTATAATTAAATATAAATATTCCATTTGAATGTTCTAACGTTATTCCATTGTAATCTTTCGATCCAGTCATTTCACTGATCATCATTTGTTTCTATTTTTTTTATTAAATTGATCATTGATTATTAATTTGTTACGAAGTTGGTGATGAAGCGTTGATGATGATTATGATAATAATAGATGATGATGATGATGATGATGACAAGGATTAGTTTATCACTTGCTATTAGTTATTGGTTGCTGTCTTTCAATGTGTTTTATATAAACATTTTAAATTATTATTAACATATTATTTTGATGGTTTTTATACATTTGCGTTTAAACCGATACTTTGTCATAATAATATTTGTATAATTTAATATAATTTAATTAATCACTATCATCATGTTTTCATGCATTGTTCGTTGCCGCCGTTGTATATATTGTTTTTAGTTTTAGCGGCTGGTCGAAATTTTTTTTTTAATTTCATCAGATGAATCGTGTTGGCGCCCATCCCAGTCGCATCGTCATGTTAATACACACTCCATCACGTTTTTCTGTCAGCATCCTCCCACTCATTCACTCTCCCTCTACATTCCCATTCAATTGTAAATATGATTAGATTTTTTTCATTTTTAAAAATTTTATTTAAAATTTTTAATTATATATTCAACTATAATTAAAATTGGGTTTATTTTATAATTTAAAATGAATTTGACAACCAAACAGATGTTGATTTTTTTCCCTTAATTTAATAATTGTTATTGATTCAGTGTTGTTGACGTTAAAGTTCTGTTGGATGTTTAGAATGCCAGATTTACTTAGAAGAACTTCGTGCATAATGTCCTTTCTCATTATTTCCTAATTTGCGTCATAGCCTGCTCAAACAACAAGGTTCTCACTGGACACCATATAACGCTGACATAATTGTCATTGCTGACGGATTAAGATGATTAAAAAATGATTTTAAGCAATTAATAATTAAATTATTGTATATATTACCAACATTTATCGTCAGATGATATATGCTATTATAGAAGCTCATCGCCACACCAGGAATTATTCGTTTTAATAATCGCATGTAAACTATGCTGAGAAAGCATTTTTCAGGTTTATCCATTTACACGTTTGCATCACTTTGACCTACAACGTTATAATAATCATTGTTATATATACAACAACGTACTGACATATTGTTAGTGTGCATGCTGTTATGCTTGGATACTAATGCATGTTTAATATTAATGCATGTGACGTACGCGTGCATGCATGCATGCCTTTGTTGATTCCTATTGGATCATCCGTGCATTTCCATACAATTATAACCATTTTTTTCATAGATATGTATATTTCTTGTTTTCTCAAAAACAGTTATTTACAAGACATGCCAGTTTTTTAATTTAGCTTCTATCACAGTGTCGTTTCAAGTCAAACTACTTCATCGTACACCAAGAAACTACCATGCCAAACACATTTTACAAGAATGAAAAATATATTTGCTTTCATGTTTTTTTTTTATTATCTGGTTTATTCTCCGTTATATTACAACAACGAGAGTAATCCAACAATGTATACGAACATCTGGGTTGTCCAGTTTATTAACATTCACACATACTATACTGTGCATTCATTCTTCAGTCTTTTATCCTTTTATATGCTTGTTACTTTAATCACTTGTCCGTCTGGGGTTTGTATCATATAAATGTATTTGTAAGAGATGATTTGTATTCGTATGTGGGCATTGAAGTTGGCATGCGCAGACGTCAACATCTCGGGATGCAGAGTCTTCGGTGAAAAGAATTCACACAGCCAACATTGATTTCAACTGAGAATATTCGCACAGGCAATCGTCCTTAGGCATGTTACCAGTTTCTTGCCACCTCGTGCTATTTTTGACACTATTTTTATCTACTCTATTAAATTTAGAACATTGCTAGGTAGTAGGAATCTTATTTGTTGGCGTTTTCTGGCGGGTGGGACTGAACGTGAGGAGTTGAAATTAGTGACTGACTGACTGACTGACTGGTCCTCCTTTTTCGGACTTGTTTTTATATAGCGCAATGTGCAGATGGAACGAAAAAGTTTAAGATGACGCAGACTGTAGGAGGCTTGTGTGTAGGTGTATCTTGCTTATGAGCAGGCAACTTTCGCGTAACGAGAGATTTGGAGATTTCATTGAATGATTGTAAAAATTTTGCTGACTGCATTGCAATGTAGGCAGGCATCTCGGTGTTTGTAGGCACAGTAAAAGACAAAAAATGATTATGACGTGAATAAATTGCAGCTTTTCATTAATATAAAAATGAAAGAATAAACATATATGTATGTATGCATGTATGTATGCATGTATGTATGTATGTATTATTATTATTATTATTATTATTGCGGAAATTTATATACAGCGCTTTTTTATTGTTGAATCTCAAAAGCGCTACTAAATCATAGACAAATAAGACGGACATTCATTGTGCAAATAAATAAGTTTTAAGTTGACTTCGAAATTGTAAATATGATAGGCTAGGGTCACGTAAGTATGGAGGTAAACCATTCCAAACAGTCGGGCCAAGAACCGCAAAGTTGCGCGAACCCGTCACCAACTTTGTGGTCGGAATAAAAAATAAATTGCGCTCGCATGTATGTATGTATGTATGTATGTATGTATGTATGTATGTATGTATGTATGTATGTATGCATGTATATACATTTATTATGTATGTATATACATACATGCATGTATGTATGTATGACAAATAAAAGGAATCAATTGAATGGAATGTATGTATGTATGTATGTATGTAAGTATATAAATTATGCACGTCAAAAATCGAAAATTTTGTTTATCTTGTCATTTATGCTAACGTGAAATTTCATCAATTATTATTTAACAATGTTTAAATTTGATATCATTAGGTTATTTAAGTCACTGAAATAATGTGTTGTTACTCGTGTTCATTTTGTCTCCATATCTTAAAATGTTTATACTATGCGTTGGTTTTCATGTCTGTATGTATGTACACAATTATATTCTATTAATTTGGTCACTAATCATTTTTTATCATCATATAAGGGAGAGAGAGAGATATTTGTTAATCAATATTGTCTACTCGTTCATTCATTCATTCACCCGTTCATTCGCTTCTTAAAATTTGTCATCATCATTATTGTGATTGTAATTAAATGTATTTTTATCTCGGTTTGATGAGATTTAGTTTTTTTTTTTTTTTTAAATAATTTTTTTTTATTTCGGTCTTTTTTTGTTTCGTATAATTCGTTACATATATTTTCTAACATATAACTTGTACATAGAGCAATAGACTTAACAATATCCAAAATCAAAAGATTTGTATGTCACTTTTGAAGTTTCGTTCTCTTGTTTCTACATTGTTGTCGCATCGTCACATTGAACTTGAATCATTATGCATATTCACTCAAATTTTTGACAATCTTCTTCGCCTCCTTTACAAATCAATCAGCAGCCACTTCCTACACGACCAAGCCGCCTCCTCAATCTCTCAACCCCACGTTCACTCGTATTTCTATTCAAGCATAAACCAACGTATTATCTTGCATCAAGTTTATAATGGCGTTTAACTTTTGTGCTCGGCGTGTTTTCGAACCCGGTTACTTTGCATTGATCACGTTAAACATGCACTTCGTCAAATTGCCCATTTTATATATATATTTAAATAATATATATATATATATTGTTTATTTATTTATAACGTTAGTATTTTTTGTTGCAAAAGCAGCGTGTTTTACCTAACGACCATTTACTATGTATATTAATGTACCACACAACACACAGCCAGCCACATTTAACGAACAATTATAAGCGGCATTCATCTGCTGGGTACCTAACTTAGTGGAGGGAGATAATATTAAGATTGCTTTCAATTACAGCGTTTATTTGCTGTCCACGCAAAGTACTGCACGTTCAATGCGTACGTATGTTTGATTTTTTGGGGGATTTTTTTAGCTGGTTTTAAATGTTGTTCATAACATTCGCATAATGTCTTTTAATGTATCATTATTTTGGTTCCGTTTTTAATAGAATAAAATTTATTGACTATGGAATTCCAAGTAATGTTATTAACGAAACAAGCAATGAATGTGTACAGTGCATGTTTTAAGAAATAAGTGAACGAATGAATGAGTAAATAAATGAATGAATGAACAAAGGAGTGAATAAGTGAATAAATGAATGAATGAAAGAGTGAGTGAGTGAGAGGTCCATGAAATCTTCAGTGGTTTGAATGTTGGCTGAGCAGCAACAAGCTTTAGGCATTTTATAATTTATTTTCCGATCGATTGGTCGCTTGTTTGAAGTTGAAATTAACATTTGCTGGCTACAACGTCTCATTATCGATACATTCGATTCCTCCTTTGAACGACTTACTAACATAACGCCATCTTGTTACT